AATATATTTACATATATTTATGTGTCTGTATCCATTTTTGTCATATGCTTGTAATAGTGTACGCTTGTACCTTTTTGTGTGCATGTATGCGACTGTTTAGGTGAATATGAGCTTCTGTGTTTATCTTTGGGCCTCGTTTCCTTTTCATACTCATGCGTGCTGGCTTGACTTTCGACTTCCGGATGCATTCGTCTCAGCATGTGTTAACATTGCGACATACTTCAACAGCAGCCCTATACGACATGATGCACACGAATAACCCGCCTGAGTATTCACATGTACACCTACTTTGCAAATGCTCTGAGTGTGCTGATCTATCGCTTGCCCCTTGTGAAATCACCATACCAAAACAGAGGGAGCATTATCGGACTTCATCGCAGAGCATTTGGGTATCGGTAATACCAGTCATTCCAAGGCGATTGAACCTCAAGGTACGAACGTGGTACAAAGTGAATGGTTGTTCTGGTGCAGCAGGCACTCATCCCCTGTTGACAGTCACCGGACATACGAACATGATTGTTTGGTAGTGCACGTTCGTAGACACAGTCTCAACGCGATATTCCGAACGTAAACAACTATGTTACCATACCGGAGAATACCTTGCTGGATGAGGTTTCTCTCATTGTATGACACTAAGGCGATATGTCACCACTTGAACTGCACATTCCTCATTACGCACGCACAATAAGATGCGCACAGACAATTTCCACATATATAAAGCAGGGTTTAGGGTTTCTATGGGCTCGTCCATATTCACACCGATATGTATGTAGGTAAACTTGTTGTGATATCTGGTTACTAAACCGAGAGATGCGCAATGTGTATATGCATTCAACTACATCGAAATGGCCCTATACGATGAGGCACACCGGAGCACGCACATTCGCAAAGCGTGTGGGTCCACGTTTCACATACAAATCGGCATGTGTTGTATATACCCATCCTCAGTGTATGTTCACTTATGTCACATGCTCGCGATCGCTACCTTAACATATAGAGGCATAGATCACACATAGTACATCCATCTCATGCACTCACACCCCGGTATGTATGTGTTTCTGATATATACAAGTTTCTGCATACACAGTGTAGTTTGCCTTATGTCACATGCTCGTAATCGCCTTATCATCTTCTCCATCCCACTTACCCGTAGTTTATACATAAACAGTGTAGTTTGCCTTATGTCACATGCTCGTAATCGCCTTATCATCTCCATCCCACTTACCCTTAGTTCTACATACACAGTGTAGTTTGCCTTGTGTCATATGCTCGTAATTGCCTTATCATCTTCTCCATCCCACTTACCCGTAGTTAATATGTACCTGTTTCTTCATACACAGTGCATTTTGCCTTGATGACATTGAGGCCGTCGCCTGTGAATGGCGTGCCCCAACCCATTACGAACGGAAAGACATCGGTGGTGATGTGTAAGGACGGCTCAGGTCTCGACCTCAACTACCGGGCTACTAGTAAACTGGTCAAACGCCAAGTAAGTCAATGTCGTGAGGTTATGCTTTTTGTATATACATGATGATTGGTTGTGAGTATTCAATGGGTATACTGTTTTGTTTTGGCTTATAGTGTATTTTGGCGCACATGTGTGCGTGTGTGTTATGACGGTGATGTGACAGAACGCCTCGGGTCCGGACCTGGATTATCTGACTATAACCCACATTATGATCGAACTATATGTCAGCATACATTGCGAAAGAGTCTATTTGTCCTAGTCCGTGTTGTATTTGACGATATCGACAGATGTACTATACAAATAATACCCTCCTGTGGCCTTCGCTACTTTTTATATTAGATGTTTATCTATGG